TTGGTCATATTTATCCATAAGTTTGCTTGGTAGTGTACATTTTGTCATTTTGAGGGTCTGGGTCAATGTCTGCATGCCTGGAAGTCCACGGAGAATTTACATTACAATGCACCAACAATGCATGCGCACCAGGCAGTGGACTTCAAAGATGGCGCAGGAGGAATGACTCCTGGGCCATTAGACCTCCAGATGAGTTAGCTCGAGTCCTAAATAGGGAGGTCAAGACACTAGAAATTTAGTAGTTGGTACCAGTATCAGCAGAATTCAACTGAATTGAGTAAGGTGAGCAATCATGAAATAATGACCTTTTATACTTAAAAATAAATCCTTTTATTAAAACAGCGCGCAGACTGAAATGCTAGGATGGTTGACAAGTAGCTAGCTAATGTTATTACAAGATATAATGTCAGTTTCATTACATTAGCTGAGCATCTATGTAATTAGAGCTGCAGTAAACAAATGACAACGAACCACAGTCAGCTTATTTTCACGGTTCTCAGCCTGCTTAGCCTCACTTAGGACCAACATTCATATACAGTAACATGTGCAGGTGCAAAACCTGCACCTGCTTTTGATGGTTAAGGTAAAATATGTCAAGTAAAGAATGGTGTACAGCAACTGATTTTCAGTTAACCATCTGTACGTCTTTCCTTCAGCACAGCACTTTGTTTTCTGTAAAACTCTGATTTTTGTTTGTAGAGGATGTCAACAGAAGTTCTTTGGGGAAATAAATCAGCAAAAATTGGCATTTGATCAACGAGTTGCGAGAGGAGCTAATGTGGCAGTTTTCCCAGGCCACTGTCTTCCAGGTGCACTTTTTCCTCTGCTTGTGGGCATCTTTCCTCTTCAGCCTTGGAATACAGGCTGCCTATGCCTTAAAAAAACAACCAAACAAAAAAACACTACGGTCTTGAAAGTTATTCTAACTATTGAGGTACATCACGCCACTGTCTGCAGAGACTGAACCGGAAACACACTCTTGTGCCTTGTTGTGATAGAGGGGTCACAACAAGCCGAAACAACACCAAAGTCTGCTTCACATCAGCAGTTGTGACGTGTAACAATTCAGGAGCAGGACATTGCTGAGGTATGAACGGGTAAAATATCAGAAAAGTGAGGAAAAAATTACCCTCAGGTTTCGCTAAAAGCAGCAAAACTTTGGTGGATAAGATAAAAGAAACGTACAACTTTTATGAGTGATTATTCAAGCATAAAAAGAGCAGTGGATAGACATGTCTCACAAACCCAGGATGTATAATAATACATTCTTTCGGAATAAGGTATTGGCTAGACACACGTAAAACCTGTTCATGCTATGAGAGACACTTATTAGCTGGGTGCAGGCACTCTGAACATCCACACTGCCAAAGCCTCCTCTTCTCCCTCTGATGAAGTCATACTCTGTGCTGAAACATTAGCTGCTGTACCTTATTAAAAACCTTCAAACCCCATCATTCCAGATCCTATCTCAGCTGCCCTGCAATGTGTACCCTGTAATGGGTTCTTAGCTCTTCTGGCACATGCACACATTGCTTTATTTCTACGATGGCTCACTTCCTGTTGATCTCTGCGCTGCCAACTTTGCTACAGCAAAACAATCTGTGCTGGATTAGCGAAATGTGTTAGTGGCTGTGAAAAAAGAACTGTCAAGCACCTAAAATTGGAACCAAATGCTAAACAGATTTTTAGTCGTGTTTACCCGTTCTTTGCTTCAGTCGCAGTGTTGCTGTTTTTGCTTCAGAAGGCAGCATTTTTGGAATCAGCATCATAATTCATGTTTCTTAGTGGCACCGCAATCAAAAATTTAGCAAGACTAATAAAACTGTGATGAAGCTTTGCAAAAGAGGAGAACACTGTGGAAATTGCAATACAACAGCTGTACCCTTTAAGGGGAACTAGTTTGTGTTCCATTAATTTCTGTCATACAACTGTTACAATGGACTAAATTCAGACTGTTTTATAAACACTTGGTTTCAGACAGGTTTCAGACAAGTCTGCATCTGTGTGATGTCAGCAACAGTGGATGTACTTAATATGGTCATCTCAAGCACAGCAGCCCCAGCCAGTCAGAAGAGAGTTGGTGTAAAGAGAGGGCATCCTCAGAGCTACAAGATGCACACTTCACACAGTGAGGGTGTGCACTGAGGACCCCTAAAACAAATGAGGAATCATACACTCACTTTAAGTATACTTTATGATATACAGAGATACTTATTAATGCTGAAAACACTCAGAAATTTCAACCCAACCCCTCATCTGACAGGGGAGCAGGTAGATTCCTGATTCAGCAGCTCCTAAGTCATAGGAAACCATATGACCCTGCTTCTGGGACTGGCACAGTGATCAATGGCTCCTAAAAACCTCTGGACTCTTCCTGAAAATTTGCGAAGGCTGGACACTGAGGTGCGCAATGGGTGTGTGAAGTGTGTACAAGGGTCAGTGGGTGGATCAGAGGGGGACGCAGGAGAGCGAATGCCTTTGGTGTACATACCACAGTACAAAAGAACAACCTCCTGTGTGAGTGTAGTCATTAGTGCTTTCTTCTCTGTGTGTGTCAAGGTCAAAACAGAGCCTGATTACAGGGCGCTCTAGAGAGCTGTGGGTGTGTGTTTGTCGGCATGTGTGCACACAGAGGCTTCCCTTTTGAACGCAGGCAGCGGTGGCATTCCTGGCCCTAGGCGCTGGCTCTTGAAGCCAGATCTCAAGGAATTTGGGAAATGTGCGAGGGGGCATATCTCTGGTTGTGAACAGGAGAACGAGAGATGGCAGAGTGATGAGGGGAGGGCAGGAAAGGAAGGGGGGAAATCTATTTTGTTTGCCTTTTGTGGCCCCCTGGAGGATCAAGTAAGGTTGGTAAATTGGGAGGGAGGGACTGGTGACATAAGACGACGAGGGGCCAAAGATGAGGCCTTGTGTGCTTGCACGAACCAAAAGGAATTCTGATGAAAAAGGGTTAAAAAGGGTAATGCTGGGCAGCGAGAGGGATGTAGCAATACTGTTGGCGAGAGAATCAGTTTGGGTAAGGCGGTCTTGCCTCATTCGTACATTTCTCAGAAGCATTTGAAAGAGATGGTGAGATATGGAGAGAAAAAGAGAAACTCGTCACCTTCTCTTCAGTCTCCAGCTCTTTGCTTAGCAGATTCTTCTCTGCCAAGTGCAGCTGTCTCTGTAGACTTTCCACCTTTTCCTGCAGAGCCTGAGGGAAGGGAGAGACAGTCAGTCAGCTGACTGACGCAAAGAGAAAAACATTTTGAATTCGGTGTGGCGTTAAGTGTTACGTGGCACAAATTGATAGACATTAATCTGCAGTTACATTTGAGATTGCAAACAGATGCACGCTTTATCTCAATAAGAGGCTACAGCAGACTCAAGACCAGAGCTAAAAAAAACAAGCAGATGGAGAAAACTAATAGGAATATAGAGTACACAAACATAGACAGAAGGACAATGAAGAGAGATACAGCTTGTGATTACTTTTTGGGAGGTAAAAGGCTATTAACAAAGCAGTCTCAGTAATTACTATGAAGCTGCCCTCATTAACCCTAAACTTATTTTTAGACAAGGGCATAAAGAAAGACTTCCCCAGTATGGAAACAAACAAACTTTCTAGTCTTTTATAAAGCTGCAGTTCTTATTCCTTTCCTTGGCAGTACTAAGAAACATACACTGTATCATTTAGTGAATAACGAGCCCTCTCACATGTATTCCAGTACCTGTGCCGATCAAATTTCCCCACAAGGTACCAATAAAGAATTCAATCTATTTTGCTTTCTAAGACTCAGGCAAGAAAGAAGAATAAAAAAAAAGAAAGAAAAAGAAACGCACAAAGCAGTTTTCCCCCCTTTCTGCCCGTAAGTGATAGCAAAGCACAGTTCCTGCGTACGACCCAGAACCAGATGTTCCGAGTGCACATGTGGACACTTCATCTTTGATTAGCCTGCATGGAAAGCAGGGACTGATATGTACACACGTGCAAGTGTGCGTGCACACACACACACACACACACACACACACACACACACACACACACACACACACACACACACAAATATCTTAAGATGAAAGCACGGGCGTGCATTTACACTTGCATGCACACACACCTCCAAGAAGTGTGAGTGTAGCACTGGCTAACATCAATATCCACAGTGTCTCCCCCCACTGGAGTTGAGTGAGCAGGCCAGGTGTTGACTTGTTGATTCTCCGAGCCGAGGGAAACGCAGTCCAGGTGATAGGCATGACCGCCTGATCTACGATTCAGTCCACTGACATAAATCACGCGCAGACTGCAAGGCTTTAGGGCCGGGGTGAACTTTTAGGTAGAGCTTCTCTTGAAACTACACCACGAAGTAAAAAAAAGAAAAAAGAAACACAGACTCGGATTTGTTAGCTAGATTTTTATACTGAATACACTCCGATTTCACAGTGTATGATCCTCTTGGCAATTTTATCTCATATATGACCATTTTCTTTCACTAATTTAAAACACAGTGTGAACTAACCTCAACTGCACTGACGCAGGTGATTTAGGCTTAATTTAGGCTTCTGGTAGTTGGATTTTTTCCCCCTCAGCACACATTAATCGGCCAACATGACTCTAGAGCACGTCGAGGTCAGTTTCAGCTCTTCAACATGAAAGGCGGCCCATTTCCAGCGTGCTTATCCTATTAATCAGGGTATTTCTTAACTAGTCACGACCCCACTGTAGCCTACATCTCCATTCTGTGAAAGCCTTTGCCTTTGATTTCATCATTTCATTTTGTTTACTGACGAATCAAAGTCTCAGTGACACTAAGAAAAGCATTTTCAGTGGAGTTGACATGAATTACAAGAGCCTTAAGTAGCTGTAGTGGTAGTGTAGAGAAAGCATGCAAGGACTAGTATTTATTTTTGGGTGGGAGTGGGTTTGGAGTAGAGGGGCAGAGAGAGATGCACAGCTTATTGTGGTGATGGTCTCTTGAGACGAATTAAACATTTGGGAGAGTGTAGAAAAAAAATCTTAAAAAATACTTTCCCATGGTAACAGTGACCATTTCAACTTTGGATTGTGGGTAAAGCACTTCTCTTCCGTGATATCACAAATAAAATGTGTTTCTTTTTAAAAACAAGGTTTATATCCTACATACCTTCATTTTATAATGTTGTAAACTCGTAGTAACTCTACCACCCCCCACCCCGTTATTTCTTTTTTTAACCATCATCCCAACAGGGGGCCCATTTAACAAGTGCTCTTTTAGTGACTGTACCTTCGTTTCTGTTTGTGCTGGAGACAAACTTCTAACAGTTTTAGAAAAGAGAGACGACGAGATTTACAGGCATATCCGGTGTCCCACAGTAACACAAAGTGTTCACAAGGTACTTCTGTCTGAAGTACATATCTGGACACTGACACAAGTTTTGTTTTTTTATACCCATTTACTGAAACATATTCCAAATATAGTTATATAATAAGTAGACTCCCATCTTTCAATTTGGATGAAGGGTTTAGGAGTTCCAGCTCTTTAACATGTGTCGCTCTCTTTTTAAAGGGAAAGGTAATTGGACATTTGACTCAAAGGCTATTTTCATGGGCAGTTGTGGGCAATTCCTTTGTTATGTCATTATTAATTAAGCAGCTAAAGGGCCTGGAGTTGATTTCAGGTGTGGTGCTTGCATTTGGAAGATTTTGATGTGAACAGACAACGTGGTCAACGAAGCTCTCCATGCAGGTGAAACAAGCCATCCTAAAGCTGTGAAAACAGATAAAACCCATCTGAGAAATTACTACAATATCAGAAGTGGAAAGATCTACAGTTTGGTACATCCTGAGGAAGAAAGAAAGCATTGGTGAACTCAGCATCGCAAAAACACCTGGAGGTCCACAGAAGACAACAGTGGTGGATGCCCCAGTGTGTTTGCCCCAATATTAAGAAATACACTTTTATTAGTGATGCTAACAAACACTCCCAAGAAGTGATATTGAGAATAATTTTTATGGTCATGAGAAACCCCTTCACAACAGCCCACCAAGTGAACAACACAACTCAGGAGGTAGGCGTATCAATATCCAAGTCTACTATAAAGAGAAGACTGCATGAAGGTAAATACAGAGGGTTCACTGCAGGGTGCAAGCCACTCATAAGTGCCAAGAATAGAAAGGCTAGATTGAACTTGGCTAAAAACAAAACAAAACCCCAACATCTAAAAAAGCCAGCACAGTTCTGGAAAAACGTTCTTTGGATAGAGTATTAACCAAGTATTAGAAATGAACATTTTATTTTCCTGTATTTAATCTGTCCAATTACTTTTGAGCCCCTGAAATGAAGCGATGTTAAAAAAATGCTTTAGTCCCTCAGATTTTTATGCAATCTTTTTGTTCAGCCCACTGAATTAAAGCTGAAAGTCTGCACTGCATCAGAGTTGTTTAATTTAAAATTTATTGAGGTAAAAAGTTGTCTCTTACCAAATATATATGGACCTAACTGTGTCTTACTAACCAGGCTCGGTAACAGCAGCACCGTTTCTTTTAAAATATAATCACTTCTGGCTGCAAAGAAAGTCGCATAGCTGTCGTCAAAATGCAAACACGAAGGCTTCAAACTACAGAGACCAAAAACTAGTGGCTTACATCAAGTTGGCTGCATCCATCTCTTATTTACAGTCTATGATTAAGCTGCAAACGTCTGCTATCATCTTGTAAAACCTACCCACTGTGACCCTAATGTCACCTACAACTATTCTTAAAACAGCACCGTTGCAGACAATATAGATAAGCGTCCTTAACAGATCACACCCCACCCATCTCTTCCTGTCCCACTAGTGATTCCCCGCAATGTGACACAAAACTTCTCGACCTCATCTTCTGGGAAGTGAGGCTGACCTCACTGGTGACGTGTTTTTCTCTTTCTTGTGGGTTCTACGTTTGATGTACTCAAAGCAAAGCTAAGTGCAAAAGTTCAACCCTGGTTCCTTCATTAATAGAATCATATGGGATGTTTCTGCTGATGAACAGTACAGCTTTGTGAGTCAGAAAGAGCTGCAGATACTCAGTCATTATTGCCGTCAGACACAATGGTCATATTAAGCGAATTAGCAACAGATACTGTGCTGAAGCTGATGTGCATGGTCTGTCTGACCTTGACTTTAATCAATGAGGGCACTTGTTCAGACACAAAACCTCCAACTGGTGCTTCATTATTGATTCTTCATTTTCTCAGTCTAACTTCCACTGTTGTTTCTTTAGTACATGAATGACCATGTGTATAATATTCAGCAAAAATGTCTCCAGATGCTGAGGGTGATATGGTCTGTATCAGTCATGCAGACTGACTGGGATCATTGAAAACAGGGTAGGAAGAGGGGGTGGGGGTGTAAGGGAGGAGGAGGAGGGTCTGATTTCCTTAGGAAGAGATGTTGGGTATGAACGAAGGAAGCCTGAAAATGAAAGGTGTAAAAAAGAAAGTGAGAAAAGCAAATTGCAAAGGAAAAGCTTGAGAAGACAGCAAGAGAAATGTGACCACATCCAGAAGAGTGCAAGAGGAGAGAAAGTTCAGAAAGGTGAAAAATGAGAAACAGCAAGATACCGAAGAGGAGGAGGGACGTGAAGGAGGGAAAAAAAACACGTGGCCGGAGTGAAGAGATAGGGGCAGCGGTTCTACTTCTGGCGCACGGTACATCGGTTGGGGGCTTAGAGGTCTCTCTCACCTCTCCATCAGCAAAGTGCCTCTGCCTTTCATTCCAAACTTTGGCTCAAAGGATTAGCGAGGCACACGCGCACACAAGCACCAACAAACACACCGCTCAGAGCGATCCATACAGGTATAGGCATGCATTAATATTAACAGCAAAAGTTCTAAAAATGTGAGCGCTACACTCTGCAGTCAAATGAGTGCGCAGTTACCGCGTCGTACGCACACAAACATACACGCGGCGTCACACAGGCACAACGATGCCTTAGTCATCTTTCCTGGGTGGTCCTCCTGCGCAGATAAGGCGAGCATGTTTCCCCAGGGTGAAGTAAAAGCAACAGAGGGCAAGGAGAAAAAAAAAAGAAAAGCAAAGAAGAAAGAAGGGAGGGAATAGTGGGAGGAGGAAAAAAGGCCAGGGGCCTCTTTAAACTTGGTGTTTTGTTAGGAGCTGAGCTGCTCTTCATGTGCGGCGGGGCCTTCTATTTGCAGCGTGCTGTCAGAAGTTTCTCCCAAAGTCTGGATTAAAGAGATC